AATTAATATGCTATTTTTTATTATGTTAAGTATTATTCAGAAACTAAGAAGTAAATTACAAAATATATGTCGTCAGATATATAAAAGCTTTGCATTAGTTTCATGGAATAAATAATTGTATAACATGTAATTTTATCTTTATAGAGTAAATAATAACCAAAAAACACAGGACAAACAAAAAAATAGATAATAGTGTGAGAGAGAGAGAGTTATATGAGAGATGAGACTCTTAGAGTTGCAGTAGAAGTGAAAATTCAATTAGGACTATCTGATCAAAATGATATGAGTCGCGAAAAGTTCAAGACAAACAATCTAACTATTTTATTATATAGATGAACACATGATACTTAATATACATAATTATAAAATGATTAACTTGTAATGCACATGTGCAACAACTAGTTGAAATAAAGGTTCCTAATAACCATCGCATAAAGAAGATAAAAACAGAAAAATGTGAAACAAACCCAACTCATTCTACTAAATGAGGTTGCTAAAAGGCCACATATAAGAGGAATTAAAGAAAGAACTAATCAATTAGATATTTGCATATTCCTGATACAAAACAAATACTCCTTTAGATTTTATACCTACTAGCAAATTCCAGAGAACATTAAGATTTAAAACTAACAAACAAGAAAGTATTATTTGGTGGGAGCTCGTATTTTTGTCAGCCTATTAATCTTGTTCTATGTAAGTCAAGGAAACTCAATTGTGGCTGTTTTCCACTTTATAATGTCTCATCTCCTTTGTTCTTTTTGTGATTGATTTATTGGGTAGTAAGTCGCCTCCTCCCTCATCTCTCCGTCTTTCTCTCTCTCTCTCTCTCTCTCTCTCTGTGACACACACAATCTCATGTCACTAATGAGGCTCTTATGGGCATCAAATAGCTGATTACTTCAACTATTATTGGTTTTTACAAGAAATTTATTGATTATTCTTATGGGTCGGTTGAGGTTTGACCTAAGGGTTCTTGGGTTATGCGATAACCTTCTTATGAAAAATCTAGATTTTAACTGAATCCTTGGAGACAGAGAATAGATAAAAACCACCACCTTGACTCTTGGTAATACAATTTCCTTGGCTGCCATAAAGAAGCCCTTCATTGTTCAATCGTTACTGACCATTATAAATTATAGGTTATGTGTTAATTCACTATATTGTAGTATTTATTATGTTGTTTGGAAAAGGTATCAAGGTAGAGTATGGACTCACTTTTTGATTGTTCTACTTTAGTCTTTAAGTATGTATACCCAACCCATTATGCAAAAATTAGCATTGCTTGGCGAGAGAGTTGGTTAATTCTATTAAAATGGGTCTTGGAAGAGACATCATGTTTTTTGACTGGTTTACTGCCTTTTAAATAATATAAGATTGACCTTCACCATCCTAGCTTATTTCGATTCATTCACACCATTGATTGAATATCCAACTCTATTACAAGACAAACATGACAAAATTTCATTAGGCACTTGCTGATACATATGTATGACTTTCACTTGACCATTTTTAAAAATCATATATCTTCAAACACTGATTTTAGCTTGTTGTTATATTTGTTCACAGCCTTAGCTTTGAAATTGCATGAAACTGGAATCAAAGCTGTCACAGTCCCATATTGATGGTGTTCCCTAGCTTAGCAATACAATCTAAAGTTGGAACCTATACTAGTGGATCGAGAAACACAATTGCAATCCTTGAAAGAGCAGTTCACAATGCGGTCAAATGATCCTGAAATTAGTTGCTTGTTACACTTTATTGGTAGTACATGAATATGTCATCTAAACACTCACAGTAAAAGGTTAGTATTCATATATATTATCAAGAGGATGAAATAGAAGCATTTGGTTTGATTAAAAAAAAAGGTCCAAGGCTTTAGTATTCAACATGGTTCACGTGCAACACACATGTGCATCAACTAGTACATATGTATATATATATAGATACACACACACACATCACACACCCACACACTCATATACATCACATAATACATACATATATATACACACACACAGATCTGTGTATATATACATATATGTTCAAATCTGTTGCAAAGAGAGAAAGGTAGGGGATGAGTTGCGCGAGAGAGAGAAGGCTACAACTATTCGTTGTCGACGTTTGGCCTTCATCGGTGCTCATACGTTGTCGTCGACTTTCAGAAGAGGAGGAGAAGGCAACTAGAGTTCGTCATCGTCAGTGCTCATATTTTGTAGTTAATGGGATTCGATGGTGGGATTTTATTAGTTGGGGCTTGTGTCCCGTGTTTTCTGTGTTCTTGAAAATTTGTTCCCAAATTTAGTCAAAACACCCCCAACATATTCTCTAAAAAATTCATCTCAATTCCCACTTTTTTCTGAAAAATTAGAGATTGAAAACACCTAATCAAACATGTTTTCTTTGTTTTTAAAATTTTGAGAACAAAAAACAGGTTTTGAGACACAAATCGTAGGGCCTGTTGGTTTGCATCTCTAAAAACAGTATTCGAAAATAATTTTTGAGAAGAATTTTAAAAAAATATTTTTTGATATTTTTGTATTACAAAACTTGTTTGGTTATGTGATTTTGAAAATAATTTTAAAATAAAAAAAATAATAAAACTTGTTTGAACAGTAATCCACAAAACTAATTTTTAACTTATCTTCTCACATCAAGTCTCACTCTCTCCTCTTTATATTATCTTCTCACACTGCAACTCTCTCTCTCCATTATCTTCTCAGAGCATCTCTCTCTCCGTTGTCTTCTCACACATCACAAACATACACACACCAACACGTACAACAAACACACATACACACAACCATTGCACAACACACACACATATATACATATAGATCTATGTATATATATAGATTTGAACATAGATCTGTTGCGTGAGAGAGATAAAAGACTACAGGTCTCCGAAGTTGCACCTGTGGTTTGCCGGAGCTATGCCGGTGACGTAGAAGACGCCTGGTCTCTCAGTCGTCAAAGCTTTCCAGTCGCCGGAGTGAAATAGAAGACGCCTGGTTTTGCTGAGTGGAGAGAGAGAGTCACGGAGATAGGAAGGCAAAAAAAAAAAGTCTATATACTATAGCTAATATTGCTGGTAAAGGAATTCGAATGAAAGACTTCATTAAAGAGTGTGATTGTTTTTCTTGTTTTCCTTGTTTTCTAATTTTTGTTTTCAATTCACACTTTTTTTGAAAAAATTGTTTTTGAAAATTGCTATCCAAACAATATCTCAAAAATGTTTTGTATTTTGAAATCAAAAAACTGTTTTCAAAACACAAACCAAACACCACCAAGAGATTTTGGGCATTTTTTCCGTAATTACTTCTGATAATCTGATCTGATTCACGCCTTTGTCTCTCTCCAACCCTCGTCTCCTCCCTCGACGACGAAAGGATGAAGACTCAACCAACCTCTCTTTCCCTGCGATCTAGGAACGACGACCGCTCTCGTCAAATGATTTCGCTTCACTCAATTTAGTCTTTGCATTTGCTTCACTTGACACAACACTACAACACATTACAGCATGTACATCTCTCTTTCTCTGCTAGTTTGTTATTTTAGTGAGAGAGAGGGAAAGAGATTTAGGTATCTGGAATAAAAATTATCTGTTGAAATAGTGTTGGGTAAATCTTATAAATACTCCGATTTTTGTTTTAAAATTGCTCTGTAAATTTTAATTGTTCAAATTTATCCTTTATCCTTTAAACTATATACTTTATTTCATTAGACCAATTTTGTTAAGATTAACTAATAAATGAGATAAAAAATTTTAAGATTAAATATTAAATAAGAGTTATTCTATTAGTATTAATTGTTAATTTGTCTTACGTAATAATTAATTTTAATGAAAAATATTGATTGACAAAAAATTATATAATTTAGAAGACAAATTAGAACAATTGAAATTTCAGAGGACAATTTAAAACAACAAGAATGGTTCAAGGTTGATTTTATTTTTATCTAATAATATTTATTGAATGCAATGAGCTCCCAAATATGCAAAAAAAAATATTGGGTATAACAATGACATCACGTCATCATTTTCATATGGTGTAACTATCCAATAAAAACATAACAAATAAGTCGGTGAATTCTACATATTATAGTAACCACTCTGTCATGTCATTTAATAATCACAAAAGTGGAGTTCATCTTACCCGTGTATATGTTTATTATTAGATGGTAATATCATGTGTCAATAATGACGTGGTGTCATTGTTACCAAAAAAATATTGGATATAACAATTACACCACGTCAACAGTGTCATGTGGTGTAATTGTCTATTAATAGATAAACAAGTCAACAAATAAGGCACCCTAAAACTCATAACCACCCAATTAGTCTATGGGTAGGGTTGACCCATGTGTCTAGTTATTTGACCTAAAAAATAGGTCTGAAATTCGATAGACCCGACAGTTGGCTTGTCCAAGCTTGAACCTGAGTTCAATATCCGGCAAAAGAAGGCTTGAACTTGCCCTCAAATCTACTATCCAGCCCATGAGCCCACCCAAGACCTCCCCTGTCCAACCCTTTTACCCAATTGTTTGAAAAAAAATTGATAATTGAAATTTTTAAAATTTGATGACAATATATGACTCTATTTTATTTAAATAAACTTATTCATTATTTATTTTTTTATCCATTTTTGAGTTTTGAGTCTACCCAAAGTCTGACTTAACCCGTTTGGATAAGAGTTTGGGTCTATCTTATTCAAGTTCGGCCCAAAAAAATTTATGAGCCTAGTTCGGCCCGACTCATAGATACCCCTATACCTAACCATGTAATATATAGTTATTTCTACGATAGGAAGTCAACTTTATTTTATTTATTTTGTTATTTTCTTATCGGATAACAATGCTCATAGTGTAACAATTATACCTAACATTTACTCGTTCAGAAAAAATATTTACCGATAATTTCGCGTCAAACTTAGGCAGCTTCCAAACTAACTAAACTGCAAGTTTGGCGCTTCTTGTACTCTCTCTCTCTCTCTTCCCCCCCCCCCCCCCCCCTCCCCCAAACCAAAAAAAAAATCCAATCCCCCATTTCGTTTTTCTCTTTCCTTCTTACTTTTTACTTTTTAGGGATTGAGGATGCCATTCTTAGATTGTAATATTTAACTCTCTCTCTCTCTGAATAGCAGCATGGATGGTGTTGAAGTGTTTATTGTCAATTGTGGTCTATAAGCTGTTCGACGAAATGCCCCAAAGGTTACTGACTTGAGTTTGCCTCATTCTTGACATTGTTCAATTTATTTGGCGATCACTTCGGTATGGATTTTGCGCATTGCTATCTAGACGGCAATGCCGATGCTGTGGAATTCTGTCCTCACGATTCTTTCCACCACATTTTAGCTGCTTCGACGTACACGCTACAAGAGGGTGATCAGCCCACTCGATCAGGAAGCATATCGCTCTTCAATGTCAATGCTGATGTGGGTAGTCTTGATTTGATTCATAGGGTGGAGACAGCTGGTATTTTTGATATAAAGTGGAACCCAGTTGGGGGTAATGTTGGTCGTCTGCTTGCTCAAGCTGATGCTGATGGTTACTTGAGGATTCATAGGCTTGACAATTCTGTGGATGGATCTGAAGTTCTTGGTATGTTTACTATTTTGTACAAAGTGCAACTATCTACTAAAATTCATGAAGTGGCTGATTTCATTCCTTGCTTGCTCACACACACACACACATGCACACACTGGATCAGACTGACACAGTCTTATTTCCTCTTAGTACCTTAGCTAGTAGTCTGCCCCTCCTGATGTTGGCCATTGTCAAGAGTAAAGCTTTCGCTGCTGCATTAGCAAATTATTAGGTTTCTAGAGTAGTAAACTTAAGATATATGATTTCATATCTTATGTAGTTATGTTCTCATTTTCTATCCTCTGTTTCTTTGTTCCTGCCATGTTTATGACACCGGTTGGAATTGGCCTCTCATTGAACTACAAGAATAGAAGTGTTTTTGTAATTGTTGCAGGGATTCTGAAAGAGATCAGTGGTGAACATGTCAGTTCCTCTATGTGCCTATGCCTAGATTGGAACCCCTCAGCTACATCCATCTCGGTGGGCCTTTCAGATGGCTCAGTCTCGGTAATCTCCCTTCTTGAATCCCAAGTTCATGCAGTGCAAGAATGGAAAGCTCATGAGTTTGAGCTATGGGCTACTTCCTTTGATATCCAACAACCACAGCTTGTGTACACCGGTTCAGATGACTGCAAATTCAGTTGCTGGGATTTGCGGGATGGTCCTTCTAAGTTGGCATTCCAGAATTCAAAAGTTCATAAAATGGGTGTTTGTTGTATTGCAAAGAGCCCCAGTGACCCCTATACTTTACTTACTGGTAGCTATGATGAGTACCTGAGGGTATGGGATGTGAGATCAATATCAAAGCCAATAAATGAAAGTTCCATCTGTTTAGGGGGAGGAGTTTGGAGAATCAAGCATCATCCCTTTGTACCTGGCTTTGTCCTGGCAGCATGTATGCACAACGGGTTTGCAGTTGTGAATATAAAGGCAGATCAAGCTGAAGTTATTGAAATGTACAGTAATCATGGGTCACTTGCATATGGAGCTGATTGGCATAGAGGGGATTTATGCCACAAAAGTACAAAGAAGAGTACCGTAGTTGCTACTTGCTCATTTTATGACAAACTCCTTCGGATATGGATGCCAGAATGTGATTTAACAACTTGATGGTGCATGTGAACACATTTCATAGGCTGATGCCAGGAGAATTCAATAGTTTTGATTCTGCATGCAGACCTGGTTCATTTCATTTAGACATATTACCGTCAAGAATATTTCTGGGTGCAGTTATGTTAATTAAAGATTTGTGTTTGAATTGGTGCTCATACCTGGAAAACTTTTCGTCTATACTATTTGAAGTCCAACGAAATGTACCTTCAATGCTTTAATTGTTATGCTTACACTGAAACTGTAAAACGATCCCCACTTTCAACATTAATTATTGATTGTTGGCTCAAAATGTTGTATGGTTCTCTTTAGCAGCATCACTAGGAGAGACTATTTTCCTGTGGTGGTCAATAGTTATGACGATTAGCCAAAGTATTAGATTGTTGGGGATGCTGCTAAAGAACCCTCAGGACTTCCATCTGGATGGCCTTTTTCTATGGTAAGTAATATAAGATAGTTGAGGTTGACCGTTAACGTTAAATAGGGGCAGCGTAGGACATTAATGCGGGTCTCTGTTGTTTAAATATTTGCTTGACGCGTTTTAGATTGCATTTGAGCTTCTATATACTAGATTCTTTATGTTTAATGTTTCAACTTATCAGTTCTATATAGGTAGCAGATTTCTCTGAGTGGAACCGTCTTTGAGAGAAAAAATTCATTTCCCAAATTTTCCTTTTTTCCCAATCACAGGAACAGATGGGTGAAGACTGTGTTAACATTCGAACTTTGAGGCATGCCTTGGCTTGGGATAGGCTTAGAGTTGGAATTTGTCCGGTGAACTTGTTATGTGGTTAAGGATACTACTCCAATCTCCTGTCATTAAGGTTTTACTTATGTTTTGGCTTTCAACAGTGAAAGAGAGTGACACTGAAATACAATGACATGAAGGAAAATAGGAGAGAGAGAGAGTGAGAGATGGATGAAGTGATAATGTTTTTGAGGCCAAGATCGTAACAAAGATAAACCACATCAAATGTCCGTAGGACTGATAAAGATCTGCCTTCATCTCTCTCATGTTTTTCTCATGTCGCGATGTTTCATTATCACTTTGTTTCATTGTTGAGAAAAAAAGACAGAACACAACTTGTTTTGTGGTTAAGAATACTTTACAACATTCGCCTGTTATCAAGATCTTCGAATAAATAGGTTCAAATAATAGAAAATTTATACATCTTTTGCTTTAATTGGACAACAGTTTAAATTCTCAAAATTGACCAATGTATTTATGATTCCACTGGAGAGCAAATAATACGTCATCCTTAAGGAAGGGCTTAAGCATCCAAGTTTTGGGAGTGAAATGGGTTTTTCCAAGTGACTCCGAGCAATTCAAATGTTTTGAGTTTAAATTTTGACAATTTTTTAAAGTCAAGTCATGAGAAATTTATCTTTCATAAATACCCTAGTCTCCGACATGGATGACATGTCTTTGACCTGACGTGATTAGGTGAAGACCAAACCTATTAGAATGTTCAAACTAAGAGTTTTGGGTATGAATGCTTGAAGATTGCTTGAGACCTAGACAAACTGTGCAACGGGGAGGTCCAAGTGAAGGTAATCATAATGTCGGAGAGGAACTTTCGACGGAGAATCTATGAAGGAAGGAGACTTTGATTTAGTGGATTAGGCTTTAGTGAATCAAGAATGTTCTCAGCAATTTTTTCCGAGAAGGGTTTCCACTTCGCTTGTGTTATTTATTGTTTTTACATATACACTTGTGATTTGATACACACACGTGCACTATGTGTTTGATAAATGGAATATTAAATTGACATATCACATATAGTTGCTTGATAGAGTTTGGGTTGCCTTGATTGAGGTCATCTTTTAAAATTGAGTGTTAATCAAAAAATTGATAAAATTAATACACTAATCATCATGAGATATTTTGGATTGTGGGGGTTAAAAAAGGATGGTTCTTACTTAGATTGTCATATCATGAGAAGACTTAAAAGAGGTAATTGTAGTCAAATTGGGTTAAAATTGAGATAATTGTACCTATTCACCCACGTTCTAGGTTTACTGTGCGATTGCTCGTATATAATTGAATAAAAAGATCCTACACGTGAAGTATTGTATTTTTCTCCACAGACACGACCAAAATTCGACTCGATTCGAGTTCGATTAAACAAGTCGAATTTGAACAATTTTTTAAGTTCATTTATAAAAAAGAGATTTTAACAAACTTGACTCTATTATAAACAATAAAATATCTTGTTTAGAGTTTTTAAGGTGAAAGAAAAACGAAAATTTGATCAATCTTTTCATTTATTTTTCTTTCCTTTATAGAAATTCGAGGATTTGGAGGAGAAAATGTTGCGTTAGCGCCCTTTTAATGCTTAATTTTCATCCATAGTGATTTCTAGTTTAATTATTAATAAAAAATTTCCAAAATTAAGAGAGACAAGACAAAATTGGGTGCCTGTCCTCTCCATACATCAAAGTTGCTAAGAAAAAAAAGCAGGCCTACTAACTTGTGACTGCACGATGGACAGCCGAGAAGTGCAAACTTTTATTCCGTGGTTCTCTAATTTTATTTTTTATCCATGTTAGTTTTTATTAGTAATACACACATGCGTTGAACGTGAAAAAAAAATCTAGATAATAAAATTTTAATTATATTTTTTAAAAATAAGAAGTGTATGAAGATGACGAAACAAAAAATTATTGCTCTACGCATTTAATGACTTCTTGAATTCAATAAGACTTTCTAATATTACAACACAAGATCAACAAACTCCAAAATATAACATACTAATTTAAAACTATTCCACCACCACATGAATTCAAAAAGTCCGGTAACAAAATTAATTCGAACCATAATATAATAACAAATCCTAAAACATTACAAGCCTACTAATAATAAATCTATATAATAAAATAGCTTACAATTCAAATTTCAAAAGATAAACAAAATGACTTTTGCTATTCGCGGTTGAGATCGTTTTAAATTTTATTTTAAAGTTAATCTGACACCTAATATTAACACCTAAATTTAATAGAAAAACTAGGCTCATAAGGGATGTGTTTAGAGTGATTTTTTAAAAGTACTTTTAGAAATTATTTATCATAAATACTTTAAAAAAAAATAGTGTTTGAAATCGTCTTACCACTACTACCTCCACCTCCACCACCACTACCGACCACCCGTCACACCACACCGTTACACACCACCCCCGCCACCGCCACGCGCCGCCACCCCCACCACCCACCGCCACCACCACCACTGACCACCATCGCTGCCACCACCGCCACTGCCACCACTATTGTTGTCACCCACTAAAATCATCACCGTCTCCTACTACTGCCACTACTGCCCACCACTTCTCACCCCCACTATAAAAAGCGATGCTTAAATTCTTTTATCTCTTCTCTATGTTTGTGATTTGATTTTACATATGAATACAAATATATTTACTGTTTATTATTTTTTATTATTTTATGCTTCAGGCGCAGGTAATAACTAGTAATTAAATATTAGGAGATTAGTTTAATCTTCGACATAAATTAATCTCTTCATTTCATGAAAAATACTTTTTGGGGGTTCATTATCACTTTAAAATGAAGAATACCCTTTTTTGGGTGTTCATTATCACTTTAATGAAAGCACTAATTCAATTGAACACAAACTAATTTTAGTTCTAATTCTAAAAATTTTTGTAAGGTAAATTTATCTAACTAATATTTTGTGGGCATAATAGCTTTTAAGGTAATAATTAGGGGTAAAATAGGAAATTAAATTTTTTTTTATAGATGCTGACATTTATAAGTAGTATAAATTTATTTAAGGTTAGTCTTTTATAGAACATGGTTTAAATTATGTTTTTAATGCAACATTTTTTTAAAATTATAAACATTGATTTAAATAAAGCTTTTCATATAAATTACTTTAAATAGGAAACACATTGGGATTCACATGAAACAAAGTACAAAGAAAAACGACCCCTTCTAAATTTTGGACTTGATTATGGTATTGAATAAAAAAATTCAGTACTGTATTTCTAAAAATTATTATTTTTATGAATGTTTTTATAATTTCTATGAATATTTTCAAAACAAATTTTTAATCACTTTTGTGGATTTTTTGTCACTATTGTTGTAAGTATTTTTATTATATTTTTTTTCGATACAAAAAAAATACCACTTTTTTTGGTGTTTTTACCATTGTTTTAGTTACTATTTTTATTATTTTTTCGATATCACAACAATAATAAAAATACATCTAATAATAATAAAAATACCTATAAAAATAATAAATATTAGTACGATTTGTTTTTTTTTTCGATATCGTAAACAACTCCCTAAATTTTAGTTGGAATGTCTTTTCTCACTTTTTTTTTTTGGGTACCACACAAATTATTCTTCACATGAAATGCAACTTCGCCCGTGTTTAACCCAATCACGTGATGTCTCTGTCGTTTGATTCCATTTAGTGTACATTTTGTTTCTTGTGGAATCCCTGTCTCTCTCTGTCACACACATCTACACTGCCATACACTGTGTTACACTGCCAGTCTCACGTACTATATCCTCAGTGCAACCTTCATCAACCACCAATCCATTTCTCTAATTTATTCTGTACCTTCAATTATTAATTCTAATCTTTCTATCTTTTATCTTACATGTTTCACTACTAGTTCCAACACACAATGCTCTGTCCTCCACAGTTCTGCACTCGACACTACACTACACAAAATGACTATATTTCTCTTTTGAATATCAACTCATTGGCCATTGAAACGGAGGCCAAACCTCATATTTTGCATGTCTGAGATTTAAGGGGGGGTTTGAAGCTAATTTAACGAAATGGGTTTGAACAAATCTCCGCAAGTGATCTTGTTCTCTTGGGTATTTGTGATTAATAATGATTGGTTTAAGTCTGAATCATTTTAGAGTTCAAGACCCCTTGGGTTTGCAGAACTGTTAACGAACTCTTCAAAACACAAACTGGGCCATACCCCAGTTGCAAGGAGGCTCGAAGTAACAAACCCGACACGATAACAAGTTCGGAACTCAGGAGCCTGGTATAGGGCCAGTCTGCAAAAGTTACAGTGTGACATGTGAATAGAGAACACAAGAATATTACTTGACGACTCTAATAAACAAAAACTCACATGTAATGGAGATGAATTAAATACTATAGTCGGCGAGTAGTGAATTCAGAAAAACTTTGGATATCACACCATCAGGATAAAGACAAACACAAAAAAGACCACAGAATCAATGAAAAAGGACAAACACGAAATCTTAACTACCAGTTATATAAATAGCTAACAAGGCTACAATGCACAAAAGAGTAATCCAGTAAGCCACCAAGTAAAACCTAGACAATGTCTTGTAAAGGCTTCAATCCAAACACCCTGTGTAATAACCAACTTTCTTTCTCATGCAATACAATTCTCAAAGAGCAAGAGTCTTCCTCATAATATACGTAACCTTAGTTATTCGGCTAAGGCGAATCACTAATATGTTGTCTTTCTTTTGCAGAGTATATATAGTATACACTTCCACACTCACGTACTCACATTCTCCTAGACATCCACACACCCGCTGCAACCCAGTCAAGTTAATTTCGAGCACCATCAATGGTTTTGTCTCTTAAAGCTCACTGTGATGGTTCAGAAGTCGCTGTGAGGTTCTTGAAGACCCCTCTTGCATTCTCAATTCTGAAATCAGTTGCATTTGCTTTTGATGTTTTGGTGGGTGCTAATGCAAACACTTGCACAAATTGTATAAACAATTGCAAGGTTGGTCGGTCGATTCTCTATTTATGCACAATCAAATCAGTCGAGTATATGATGCAAGACAATTAATGAAACAGTTAATAATAAGACATAAATTGGGTGGTTGGGTCGGGGGACCTAACTATAGAAGACGACAATAGTGGTCGTGAAACTCTATTAATTAGAGGGTATAAGGTAGTAGGAGAGAGCAAGAGAACAAAAGTACGCTCAAGGTGAGGTATCTCTCTATGTGAGAGATAGTTGTGTCTCTTTTTGGAGTAAATATTGAATGCAACGGTGATATCACGACACCATTGATGACATGGTATCATCTACCAATAATAAAACTTCAAATGGGAAAGGTGAACCCCACTTGGACTTACATGACAGGAGGGTGGAAAGCTATTTATTTATATGACAGGTTAGTTATTGATTTTTGTGGATTTCATGTGCTTATTTGTTTTAATACTATTAGTAGGTGATACCACATCACCTTGCCATGTGGTATCACCGTTTTAATGAATATTTTCTCCTCTTTTTGAGTGAGAGATAGTTGTTTGTCTCTCTTATGTGTAGAGAGTGCTTACAATTTATAGGCATAGAGTTCTAGCTGAGGCAGTGACGTGAAGGTCACGCTATTAGTCTTTCGGGGAAGAAAGCTACAATTAAAGATATGTGCTATCTTCGAGTAATGACTATTACAATGTTTATTGCTTACGTGCATTAATCTTCTTGGACTCTTGAGATTTAGATTAGGCTGAGGCCCTTACCTGAAATTGACCTACCTTTTGATGATTTGAGTTCAATCCATGAACTTGACTTAGACTTGGCTTAAATATAGACTCATCAATAACCACAAATATAATAAATGTAGTCAATATCACCTCTCTCACATTAAAAAATGAGCAATGTTGTTGTAACTTAATTTATTGATTTAAATTGATTATAGAGCTCATCAAACATTAAAACTTAATGTTGATCCAATAACTTTACTGAAGTCACATCATTATATCAACAAATTACATTAGATTTTAGGTCTAAAATAGTATTACTCTTAAAAAATAGTCAAGCATTTTTGAAAAGAAATACGTTTTTATTGAAAAACAATGATAATTCAATAAATAAATTTAAAATTATGATATTTGAAAAATTAAGTTTAAAATTTAATTAATTATCTCTCTCATACATTATTTTTGAATTGCAAGTCCTCAATGTAAGACTGATAATCGGGTCAATTTATTTTGACTCAACTCGATTCAATTTGTATATGAGTCAATATGAGTTCGACTAGCAATTTAAGTGAGAATAATTTTTTAAGCTTGTTTAAAAAAATAAATTTAAAATATGCAATTCAAATTTACAGAATTTAATACGTTTATATACAAAATAATTAAAAATTTTAAATAATTTTGTATACTCGTTTAAAACTCGAAACTTCAGCTCAATTATTATCCCTACGTCCATGTACAGCACAAAGGCCCCCCCACACCCAATCATTAATAAGTGGTGTTTCTCGCTAGCGTCTTGTTTCTTCTGTCTCTCTCGCGCACACATGTACAATCCATTACAATGTGCTTCACTGTCAGTCTCGTACTATATCCGCAACCCAACCTTCATCGACCACCAACCTTCATCAACCACCAATCCATTTATCTAATTTATCTTTTGCTTCAATTATCTATTCTTAAATCTTTCTTTCTCTTATTCTGTTCATCACTAGTTCCACCACACAAAGGCTCTGATATCCACAGTTCTCTACTCTACACTACACGGATATATCCGCAAATGCCTATGTTCACACTTTTGAGTTTCAACTCATGAGCCATTTAAACGAAATCCAAACTCATGTTTTGCATGTCTGAGATTTAAGAGGACTTGTAGCTAGTTTAACAGAATGGGTTTGAACAAATCTCGATGGTTGATCTTGCAATGTTGGGTATTTTTTGTGGTATTGTGTCTCAAACCTCACTGTGATGGTTCAGAAGTCAGTGTGAAGTTCTTGAAGACCCCTCATGTATTCTCAAATCTGAATTCCGCTACATTTGATTTTCAAGTTTTGGTGGATGGTAAAGAAAACATTTGCACAAATTGTACCACCAATTGCAAGGTTGGTTGGTTGATTCTGTATTTGTATATCTAGTTCTGCATGGTGTATACTGCTTTTGCCCCGTTTGAATGCATGTCTCTGTATGGGTGTTTTATGTTTCTCATGTTCATGTAGGTATTTGGTTTGAATAAGTTGTCTTTGATGAATAAATTTACTCTGTATATGTGTACTAATGTCTATTTGAAAGAATAGTTTCAGGTAACTAGAATACAGTTTTATAGAACTCTATAAGCGGCTTTAAGTGGAACAAGCCAAATGAACTCTTGGGATTTGGACTGGACCGAAGCTTTGAAATTGGCCTAGCCTTTTTGATGATTTGGGCTTAACTCATGGTCTAGGCTCGTCAATTTTCAAATAACAACCGTCTAGTAGAAGAGTAATATTTACAACAGTTATCTCCCGCATGATTGTAATATTTACTGAAAAAACTATAACCATTATACTTGCAATTTCTAGTAAGCTCCCAGATGCCAAATATCAAGAGTATATTGCATATTGTATTTCTATTTATTAGCTCTCTTTTTTTGGCCGCGTTATTCATGGATGAGAAGGCTAACCTGAAAAGGAGGCCTTACAATACTTATTTAATGGATTTTCTCTAATGTTTCTTATTGATTTTGTTAATATATCCTGTGCATGCAGCTGGATGATTACGCAGCTTCAAATTGTGCAGCTGGAGAAGTTTCTTACATAGGTTTGCAGGATGGAAATCATACATTTGAGGTGTGCACCAGGGGATCTGGAGGAGTTGGCTGCGCTTCCTATAACTGGACTGTTGGTAAAGAGATCACCCTATATCCTTTATGACTCGTTAATTTTTAGACTGCATTACTCTAGTCTATAGCAAAAAAAATTCCCATCTTTAAATTCTATTAGCCTTCACATGAATCCTTTTATACAATTGTTTTTGTCAAATCTTGTTGTCTCATGCCTGTTGTTCAGAAGAAAAAGATAAACTGGAAGATGATCATGTTTGTATTGTATTGATGTGCATATATCATGACTATTTCTCCCTTTTTTAATCAAATTATTTTGGTTGCATTTCAGTTGAAGCCTTAGAATATCAAAATTATCATCCACCACTTTGTTACAATGTCTAAGGCGCAATGTCATCTTGCCGTTTGCAGAGTGAAGCTTTTGGGTTTTTTAGATTACTTGTTCCTTTAAACATATCTAATTACACAGAAGGTTGGTTTGCAAATAAATTTGGCATGGGGTCATGTGTCTACTGGTCTGAACTCTGAAGTCAGCTCTATAGTCTTTTTTAACATCCATGAAATTCTTCTCTCTAATCCTGCTATATCTGTTCTTTTTGCAGACACAGTTCCCCCGACGGCATATGTTACAGCTGCTACATCTTTTACAAATGCTTCAAATATTCCTGTCAATATTTTGTTCACTGAGCCCTGTCATGGTGGAGGTGGTTTTAGATGTACATCTGTGAATGACTGCAACGTGAGTAGGTGGCTGCCTCAAATTTAACAAGTGATGCTTTGCCAGCTGAATAATAAAATAAGTGCTGATTGATTAATGGGTTTGTGTTTGCAGCTTCTCGTTTATGGTGCCGGCCAGGTTGAGCCAAATACCCTCAATGTTACTCAGCCAAACCTCAAATTTTCCATAATTGTGAGCTTGTCTTCAAGCACTCAGTATGGTCGGGTGCTATTGGTAATGGATAAAAATTTCTGTACAGACTCTGCAGGAAACAAATTTACTAGGACAGTGAATTCGAGTTTCTTGGTACACTTCGGTGAGTCCTATTCTTCAAAACTTCATGACACATTGCTGTAATATTTTTAATAATCTCCTTTTGAAAAGAGGATTCCTAAATGATATGTAGTAGTTATCATTAAATTTGGTGTGGTCTAAACAGTGCCCATGTCTGTGGCATGATTAATTAACTTACCCTTTTTCTTAGTATTTTGAAAGTTACCTACATACCCCACTCTATAAGTTGACAATTAGTATATGTGAACGTCAAGTGTTGTCAAAAGTTTTAGTAAAATTTCCACTCTCGAACGACATTGGGTGGAAACTTTTATAAAAGTTTGCTGCAAGAATTCATTTTCAGCAGAAAAATCTATTTCAATTATAAACTCTTATCTGTCACTTGCACAACTGCCCTTGATCTTTTGATTGTTGAAATCCACAGATAGAAGAAGTGTGTTTGTTAACCTACGGACTCATATACCTGAAATGCTGCTTCAACTTAACAGTGAAACTAGAACAGTTCTAGCAACTAATGAGCATAAGAAACTAAAGGTATACTTGTACTTCACCAAACCTGTCCTCAACTCGTCTGCTGAAATTTTGAACGCTCTCAATACAAGTCAGGGCTCGCTTCTTCCAACCACTGGCAATAACCTTGGGAATCGCAGATTTGGTTTTAAGGTCAGTTTCCTCTTAGGCTAAATATATTGTGGATTTGATTTACTGATGCTCATCTCACATAAACTCAAGTTCTTTTTAACTCTGGTCGAACTCACGTATCCATGGTCCATTCGTTCAGGTTGACAATATATCAAGCATGGCCATAGTCACAGTGAGCCTTGATTCAAAGTTAGTAATAAGCCAACAAGGGACCCCAGTTTCTCCTATAACACCAGTTACTTTCCTTTATGGTATGTAATACAACTTCCTCAGGAACTTATGGAATAATATAAAAACTACTTTTCTTTTCTCTGTTCATAGATACTTATAGAGGGAGTTCTGCATAGTCTATGCAAATGACATGGCTTTGTCTTAAGGATTGCATAAGTGAGATTTGATCTGGTTTTGAGATCTTGAATGTCTGTTAATCCTCCAGATCCTCGAAGGCCTGCAGTGAGTTTAAGTACGACCTCTAAGATGAGGACAAGAGAAACCAGCATCTCAGTGTTGATAAAATTTGTGAAGCCTGTGTTTGGTTTCAACTCTTCTCATATAACCATATCTGGAGGACATTTGCAGAGGTTAGTAACTTGGCATATGTTATTCATAGATTATATTCATGTTATTTTGTGTGTCAAATGCATATATGTTGTTGCTGCTGACAAAGACAGACATTTTAGAAAATCACAAGTGTACCTTCTCAAGTTTATTGACTAGAAATAAATTATATGAACCACTAACTTATTATTACTTGTCTTGTTTTTATGTGCTGTTCAGCTTTCATGAGATGAGTAGGAGCATATATGCTGTAGATATACAAGCAGATGATGATATCATATTTGTCAGTGTTCCTGAAAACATAACTGCGGATGTTGCTGGAAACAGAAATCTAGCGTCAAATATTATGCAAGTTAGGCACTGTAAGGATTTTATCTTTTTTGCTTACCAATGGCTTTTTCGCTCTGGACATCAATATCATTCACAAATATGGTTTTCTTTTAATTTTTTGTCACTTTCTGATCTAATTAACGAATTATGTACAGATACCGTGCCTGTGATCTCTTTGGTGCTTTCAATCTTTGCAACTACTGCTTTTGCAGTGACATCTTTAGCAGCAGGTCTCCTCACCATTTCAACCGCAAGCCTTCAGTCTATTGGGGTGATTTCAACACCGTCTTCTTCTTTAACATCTGATTCTGCAAGAAATCTTTTTGTAAGACACCCCTCTCTGTTGAGCACTTACTTGATTACTTTATTGTATTATGGCGTCTTGTGCACCTTTACACTGACCCAACATTCAAGCTCCATTTGGATGCCAACGATGCAAAGTGACAAAAAAGAAACTTTAAAAATACTGGGGCTTGAAATTTTTCCTGTTATAGCCAGGTTTCCTTTTCCTTTTCTATATCTTCTTCGCGACCAAACAGATCCTAATGCATTTCTAAATGAAGCAATTTATATTATACTCTTCTCTCAACAATGAACATAATTGCCCCCTTTTCTCCATACCATTGCTCTTATCTATAGGTGATGGTCCGTGGACACAAAGGGGATGCATCCATCTAATAGATTGCCTGGCGAACCAATCATAAAATTAACTGCATACTGTGTATTTTTCTTTGTTACAGAGAATTGCATGCCACATTCAGGTTTATGCATTGTCTAGATGGTTGGCAGTTGCCTTGCCAGTTGAATATTACGAATTTGCAAGAGGATTACAGTGGAGTATTCCCTACTTCAATCTTCCATGGGAAATGGGCAATGTTCAGCCAGCCATGGTCGGCTCAAGTTCCCCTACCAATCCACATTCGTATAGTTCCAAAATTCACGATTCAGGAATTCTTAAGAGTTTGGATATGGCTGCCTCGATATATGGGTTGCCACTTACCGCAGTGGAATATAGATCTTTTTTTGAGGTGATTACTTTAACCTTAGTTTGTTATGTGATTCTATGTGGACTATTCTGATAGAGTGCAACTTTTACTGGCAGAGCAGAAATATCTTTCCAGAAGCTCAATATATTTTGGATCCACATAATTCAAATGGGTAAGTTTTTGGGACATCTCATCTTCTACCCTCTACAATCAAATCGTACTCTTCCATATTAATTCTCAAGAAATGGAGGAATGTCGAAAATAATTCAATCTTTAAGATGGCTAAAATTTGGAACATAATGGATAAATATACCGCAGAAACTTAATGACATAAAGATAAAGGGAAAAATTCACTGGATGTTATCATCTTTAATGCTTGTCTCTCTTTTGCGATGAAGTGAAAATTCATCAATTAAAATTCATCTATGGTACTAGCAATACTAGAGATGCTGATCAACTGAGAAGACTATATTTCATGGTTGGGTGTTTCAGTGTATGTGTTTCTGTATGACAAAATCCTTTCATTTATCTTTCAACTGGTTAATTTTGTTTTCCTTTTCCTTACAGGTGGAGGGATTTTAATAGAAGCATGTTTTGGTTAGCAGTAGTTGCTGGCAGCTTAATACTGTTGCATGCCTTACTCCTCCTTATTCTAAAATTTTTGAAGACAAACTCAGAGAAACAGAGGATTTTGGAGCATTGATATTGCCAAGATTTGAGATCTTCCTTGTAATTCTTGCAGTTCCTTGTGTTTGTGCAGCCTCGACAACTCTAATTAGAGGTACCTCAATTTATTAGTTGTACTCTACCTTATTTTATGCTTCCTGAAGTTTAACTATAATTCCCCATGTTACTGTGCACATATGACAACATGCAACAATTACACTTTCAAATGTCAGTACGCGTATGTACAACCTTATCAAAAAGATCCTTGACTTACTGCCATTTTGGCAATCAAGTTAGAGTTGCTCCATATCAAGAAGTGTAGCACACATTGTTGCTCTCATCTTTGTAACCTTTAACCACAGCCTGTGTAGAGCTACAACGCATGCTAATCTTTTAAAATGGAGATGGAGCACCTCTCAAAATTTTTATTGCAATTCTGTGTGAAAAGCATATATCACCCATGCATGCGACATCCAATCCAAGAATGAAATTAGGTGAAAGTTGGATGGAATCTTTGTGCAAACTTCATTAAGGTTGTTTTATGGTATGCTGACTTTGAGTCTTAAAGGGTCCAAATACTAGTGTTTGTCCAATTTCCATATGATGATATGTCACATCCTTCATTCCGTGTTCATAAGCGTATTGTTTTCTGGAAATTTATGAATAAATGAAGTTAGGTAAGCAGTTCCTGCTATGCTCAGTCTTTCCAGAGCAAACTTATCTACAGCAAATTCCTTTTTGTAAAATGCTTCTCCAATGAAAAAATCAGCTCCTTGCTAATGTTGTCTTGCCCAACAGTTAGGCATCAACTGCCCAAATCTGTTTTTTCCCCTAAGTAAAAAGAGAGGCCTGGTGCATGAGACTTGCCACTGAGAGTCTAGGGAGGATCACATATAAGAAACTTTACTTCCATATGCAGGGAGGCTGTTTGACACCCAAGTTGTTATGGAGCAACCTTACTGCAATATGTTTATAGTGTTTTGAGAGCTACATTCACCACCTAATTTCATTCTGTATGACGAACTTCATTAGCTGATCAAAATATCCAAGATCAAATTACTCATTTCAGTTTAATTTAGGCTATAACTTTGAGTCCCCCATTATACTAATTTAGTCAGTGTATTTTATTATCTTATTCCAAGGAGGGACAACTTCAGGTATTATAGTAGGCATTTTGCTATTTGGTTTGGTGTCTTTTCTACTGCTAGCCTTGTTGTTGTTCCTCTCCATCGGAATTACATTGGGGAAGCTGCTTCAATATAAGGAGGTACATCATGAGGGCCTGAAATTCCACTGGTATCAAGAACTTGTCCGGGTAACTCTGGGTCCTGGTAAAAAAGGCCAGTGGACATGGAAGAACCTATCCAACTCTGTTTATCTTACCATGCTTGGGCCCTTATTTGAAGATCTAAGGGGCCCTCCAAAGTACATGCTCTTGCAAATTTCCAGGGGGAATCTGCAGAGGCGTGGTGATAAAATAATTGACTCGGATGATGAAACAGAAGGAGCAGAAGCACCTTTTAACCAAAAGCTGTTTGGAATTCTCAGAATATACTACACTTTGCTTGATTCTTTGAAACGGGTTTCTCTGGGGATTGTGGCTGGTGCCTCCTCAGGAAACTGGTCTGGTAAAAGTTCTGCAATCATCCTACTGTGCATGACATCTTTTCAACTCTTCTTCATGGTTCTTAAGAAGCCATTTATTAAGAAGAAGGTTCAGTTAGTTGAGATAATCTCAGTTTGCAGCGAAGTGGGCATTTTCTCTACTTGTTTGGTTCTCTTAGAGAAGGAATTTTCAGCCAGGGAGGAGATGAAAATTGGGATCTTTATGCTTTCATTATTCTTTCTGGCTTTTATGGCCCAAATGATCAATGAGTGGCATGCTTTGTACAGACAGACAAAACAACTGGACACTGCTGGGGACTCTTTCTTGTTGGGTTTGAAAACAGCTTCAATTGGACTCCTATTCTTTATGCCACAAGGGCTAATAAAAAACCTGGATAGCAAATTTTCCCTGAACAATCGTGGGGCTGGAAAAACAGGGGATCCTGCTTCATTTGATGAGAGGAATACGAGCTCTAGCTCTGGTGGTAGAACCTCGGGTGATAAACCATGGCTGAGACAACTTAGAGAACTAGCAAAGGCTAGCTTTAGTAAAGAAAGAAGTGGAGATCCAAATGTTCCATCGACTAGTCATTCCAAATGGAGCAGCAGGTTCTGGGGTGCTAAGAGAAGTGGGAGCTCATCTACGAATTCTTCATTGGATTTCAAGTCAAAACCGAGAGGGTTGTACAAAGATTTGGAAGCCATTTTTGCATCTAAGTGACACACATTATCCTTGGAACAGTCTTTCCAGTTTATTAGCCTTTTCCTCTCTGTCAACCTTTCAGCAGCTGCGTTATAGTAGACTTGATGACACACAAACTTTTAGTTATTTTCTGGGCTGGTGGATTGGTTTAGAGGTTAAGGTAAAGGGGCTGTAATTTATGTTATGGGAACTAAATAGTGGGTTATCATCAGTAGACATATAGGCTAGCCACTTGGAATTAAGCAGTTGAAGATATAAGGTTTATGTTTCAGATTATGTTTGAAGATTTCACTAGTGGTAAACAACTTTTGTGAATCACAAGTTTTTATACACAAAATTTTCCTGTTTTATTGTAGGTAATTACTACACATGAAAGCAGTTCCACCCTATCCCTCTTGCCTTTCTTCAATTTAATGTCATTCTTGTCCTTTAAATGAGGATGGTAACCTCTATGTGTGTGTGTGTGTGTGTGTGTGAGAGAGAGAGAGAGAGAGAGAGAGAGAGTTGATGCTTGGCCAGTAAGAAGTAGTTAGACTTGATTGGAAACCAGCAATAGCTCAAAGGACAGAGATGTGTGGAAGCCACAATGATGCTCAATGAATAACAGGAGCAAGTTTAATAATGATAAATGCCCAACTACTATTGGCACTGCCCATTTTGAGTGTGTGTGCGCGCGCTTGGAGCAATGCATACTAATGTACAAGTTAACATGATTGACAGTACTTACCCAAAAAAAAAACACACGGTTGACAGAATGCACCAGAGATGTCGATTTTGGACCTCATTAGTCAAATCTGGCAGGATGTGATCCAAACAACCATAAAGAACAAAAACCCTACAAATTTTTTTTTTCAAAAGTGTGAGTTCTAACAGATTAACAAGCCAAATGAAAAAGAAATTGAAGAATACGAATTTGAGAGAGAGAGAGAGAGGGGGGGGGGGGACTGTTGAAGGTACCTGCTAGTGTCTGCATTAAAGGCCATGTTCCTCTATACGATGACGACTGGACTGCACATAAACCGATAGGGATTAAAAAACAAATAATGTTGTCTATCCAAAACTTCTATTAAATTTTGGATACCATGTGGCATGTTGACAGCATTGAATGGCAAGTGAAATTCAGTAGAACCCGTTAATCTAACTACTTAAATTAATTTAAAATAGAAAACTTGATAAAAATTTTGGTAACAATAGTATTATTCGTAAAAAAACAAGAAGAATGACAGTGATGATTGGAATTGGAAGCTGTAATTGGGTTTTGGTCCATATCTAGCTGGTTTAAATGAAAAAGAATCATTACTTGCATCTTATTTTTGATATATGATGACAGATCTAGCTTAGTGAAAAAAGGGAAGGGCCAAGTAAGACAACAGCTATACAGTTAGTGAAACTCGACCTCATGACATGTTTGAGGTGAGAGTTCCATAATCACTCACCCCAAACCACTTTGCCTAGTAACTTTAGACTTTTCAAAAATCATATAAAATATTTTTTTTCTTAATTGCTAGATGTCTACACCTTCTGTTTGGATGATTTTGATTTTTAAGATCGGAATTTGATTGGATTTATAAAACTCTTCTAAACCCAACATTTAGGTTTTGTTTATGAGATTGAATAATGTACCATATCTAATCTCATGTTTGGTAAGTGACACAAATGCACATAAGACTTATAGATTAATCATAAATATCACCGTATATCTGCGATGGAATTGCCTAAACTCACCCACCTCATGGGTTTGTTGAAACCCTTATATATGGGTTTTACTTACGGGTTGGAATTCAAATCCCGATCTTGAAATGTGGAGCCAAACAAGGAATAAGGTGATGAATTGGACTATTTTGACAAAAGCACTATGAATCCCACCTAAAATCATGAACCAAACATGGCCCTTAAAGCATTCGACTCATTCTTTCCAACATGGTATAATCCTCGTCCAACATGCACCAAACAATTATCGAGATAAATCCCAAGGATGACCACAAAGGAAGATTCAAAGTATAAGGTTGATTGATTGTCTTACCCGAATCACAATTTGTTGTAGAATTCCAATTCCCACACATACACAACAAGTGAGTACCCCCATGAATGTCATACCCACAAGACCCACCTGTAGCCTCACACACTTGGCAGAAATCACCATTCCCTTGCACAGAGTACTTGACCCGTATCCCATATTCCCACTGGCCCGGCCCGGAGGCCCGCAGCGGCGCGAGACTGTAGGCACTGCTATACCCCTGGCAATCAAGCTTGCTGAGGTTCACATCCTTCATGACCTCAAATGGCACTGCACAACACTCTGGCAGGCCCGATCCATACGCCGAGCCCACCCTCCTGAACCCAATTGTGTTCCAGGCTGGGCATTCATAGTACTCCTCACAGCCCATGCCCGAAACGTTTCGACATGGTAGATGCTTTCCTGGGAAACCTCGGAACAGTGGTGATGAAACTGAACAACCTATGAGCATGAACACATTGTCCGAGGTGGGGTTGAGGTACGAGGCACGAGACTGCTCGACCACGAACCCGTTACCGAGGCCTCCTAGGACAATTGAGTCACAGGTTGACAGATGAGGGTCATGTAATGTGAGGGATTGGTAAGCATAGTCTATGTCTAGAACACGATACGAACCCGAGATAATGTGGAACATAAGAACATCATTGATGCAAAATAAGAGGTCCTGGAAGCCTGGATGGCCACATCCTGATTGGAGTGAAAATGGGTAATCAAGGGTTATGTTCCCACAGTATGATCTGCAGGTACTGTCATGGCCATAGCTGTGAACTAGTGGAACTTGCGTTTGAAATACAATGGAGAGAGTGGTGATCAAAAGGAGGGTATCCATGGCTGCTAGAGGAGAGAGACTTTTTTTTCTCACTTCCAGATCTATTACTTAGCTGCTGGAGAGAGAGATGATAGCAAAAGTGTGTTTGAGAAAAAAAGGAAGAGAATGTGTAGATGGATAGTGGGGAAGTATGATACTTTGCTTGGGATGCTGAGGAAATGGTTAAATGTAACATGAGAATAAGTTATATTTGAATATTTTCTCGTCTATTATCACGTTTCTCGTATTACCCTTCTAACTATATTGGCAATGCCTCATCAAGTATGGTGTACTTAATATTGCAATTATGATTATTGGTTTCACGTTGTCTCGATTATAGACATTGGACGTATGTATTTTCATTGAAATTTTGCCATTTTTCGTCTAAAACATTACAGGAAAAAGTGAGACCGCGGTTATAATTGGGGGGCCAAAATATAATTTGCCCATACAGGAATTCATGATTTTAGGGGACTTCTTTTGAGGTGTTGAAGAATCTGGCTGAATTGTTTATGGGGTTTTCTGCTCTTTTGGGAGGGCATTTTGGGTTTTCAAGAAGATTTGGGCCGGCTTTTGAGTTTGTGTTTGCTTTCTGTCTCTGCAGGCTGTTCAAAAAAATTATTGAAGGATATGAAACTACTGGTACTGGGTTTCTTCGTCTTTTTTTTTTTTTTTTTTTCTGTGTACGCGCGCACTCAAAATGGATATGTAAATAATAGAGGTATTTATGGGTCAAGTAACCACGAGTTTTGTTATTCGACCCAAAAAAATAAGTTTAAAAATTGATAAATCTGATAGTTAGCCCGTCCGAGCTCGAGCCCAATATCTTTAAAAAGAGGGCTTGAGTTTACCCTTAAACCCATTACCACACTCGAAGGGCAGCCCAATAACCTGTCCAAAAAATCCGGCCCAAGAGTCAGTCCACCTTTTATTTGAAAAAAAATTATACTTTTAGACCATTAAATTTGAAATTTTGAAATAAGTCTCCTAATGTCGAAATTTGAAATTGTAAAAATTTAGATACTATAATAATGTATTATTTTCTTTTTCATGTATTAAGCATACAAGTTTTAAAGGGTAGAGTAATAAATGATAAATAAGTGAGTAGGTGTCAACTTAGTTGAAATGTATTCATTCTATTAGATATAGTTCATCCCCTAATCAAAAATAAAATTATTCATTATTTTATTATTTATTTTTACTTTACTTTTAATTCAAAAATATAATTTACACAAATATTAAATTACAAAAATATTCATTATTTTAAAATAAAATTATATATAAAACAGCCCGCGAGTAGGCTCACCCAGCAAGTCAGCCCAATAAGCTCGCGGGTTGGATTGCGGGTAGCCTACCCCTACCCAAAGTTTGGTTTGGCCCGCCCGATAAATCACTTGCTTAAAACTTGGGCCTACACTACCCTGGACCAACCCGAAAAAAATTCACCGGCCAAACCCGGCTCGGCCCATGGACACCCCTATGTAGATAGGTTATTTTACATATCTATTTGAGAGAATTGTCTTTTAACACCGCACAACTATTTATAGAAAATCATACCGCACCTATGTCAGAGAATAAACTAAGGTAGTATCACGTGTTACTTTATAATCAAGTCACTGTTGGAGTTCCTCCCGTGGGTTGTCTCAAGTCCAACCCTATCTGGCAACTGAAAGGGAATTTCTGCTACAAATTGAGTGGAATTGCTGTGAGCCTGTGAGGGCTTACACGAAACAAATGGTGTGGCGATTTAGTTATGCCTAAGAAGCTGATGGCGGCCTGATCAAATTTTCTTATTTATTGTGATAGTGAATAAATATTAGTCGGGTTATTCAGAAACATAGTAGGTGAAACTTTGTCATTGATAAAACTACAATTCAAGATAAGTTGAATCCATGATAGATAGTTGCGCCTAACTCGGACGTTGGTTAGGGCACCTAAGGAGCGAGCCAGGCTAAAAACCTTGCGTTCCTACAATAGGAATTGCAACGGAGCAAGATTAACGTCTTGGGACTAACTTGGGATCCGCTCAAGGACTTGATATTGAGTTTGAGAATCAACAGACCTAGAGATGAATAGTAGCTCATTTAACCAAGGAACAAGAAAGAGAGGAAGCAATGGAATAAGGTGAGATAGTATGGCATCATCTGCTGATCCCAAATGACGCGAGTGGGGTTGGCAAAAATCCCATAACCAGAGCAGGACAGGTATAAGGAAAGGGTTTAAATCTATGCCGTGGGAATGGAGAATGAGCATTCCACTCTATACCTATCCTGTTGCTATCTCTGCATAGGATTGAATCAAAACTTTCACTGATGTTACCAACCAAATAAAAAAAAAAAAATCTTGATGAGAACTTTTCAAATTCTATTTTATAGAACTATATTTTGGTAACATTATGACAAATGCTTGTACTATGACGAGCAAACTATCAAGTGAGATTCCAAAATTACAAGGAAAAATAAATAAGACACAGACTAGCAAAATTTCAATCAGCTACATTCAAGTGACCGTTCTTGCCTTCCTATCCTCGCCACGTCAACGTTTTTCTCTTTCTTTTACATCCTTTTCTTCTATCTGCACGGTTAAAACCTGCAGGACCATCGATCCAAGGCAATTCCAAGATGTACTGGCAATTCAACTGGAAATAGAGAAGCAAGCTCTACATAAAAGGAAATCTTAGAGGGAGCTCATGATTCTTCCTTGCCTGCAATGTCATTATGAAAAAGGGTGAGCAAATTCAAATTTTGAGGTCTAAAAAAGAGAGATGAAGAATACAAGAAGTAGAATAATCACCACTGGCATGACTTAGCAATGTGTTTTCAAGTGGCTTCTTTGCCATCCTTTTCACGGCCTCAGCTGCAACCATATAAAAATTGTTGGTGAAAAGAAAACACGTAATGAAACATTTAATCCTGGATATTACTATAAGAAAAAAAGTTGCAATTTATCCCCCGTGCTTGCTGAATTCACTGATCCCACAAAAGTAGTTTTGAAGAAATGGTAATAGGTGATCCTTTTGCATCAAATATATGGGAAAACTGGCAGGAATATTGGGTAAAATTTGAGTATGAGCTCATTTTCTCCTAGCACTGCTTAGGATAAAATTGTAATAAGTACACCATCCTCTGTGTGCTTTGTTTTTTCGTTTCTGTTTTGTGGATGTTGCAGTGGGGTTTAATCCCTGTTCTGGGAGAGAAGGGTTATCAGTTAACCCGGCTTACCCAACACGATTCATTTATTAAACAGATTTAACGAGTCGGTTCATGTAACCCGCTTAATAAACGAATCGTGTTCG